CACTTCACGAAAAAAAAAGACAAGTAGTAAGGTATCTTGATGCTAATCTGTATTAAAGTCTCTTGCTATTTTAATATATTTACTTCTGTTTTGGAAGGGAAGTGAGCTGGGGAACTGAAAAATTCACATATGACACAAAGTATCACAGGACGATCAAATTCAGAAGAAAAGATAATGGACCTCACACCAAGTTGGATGAACATGAAACAAGATGCAAGTTCAAATTCTGTAAAAATATTTGAAGCACAATAAACATTAGAGAAAAAAATGACTGAACTAGCGTCTATGGTCTTAGTTATTCACACCATAACCATCCCTGCATACTTAAGGAAAAGGACCTGTGCAAAGACTAATGCTTAATGCACATCTGTAATCAGTAAGACACTAAGACAACAGGCAGTCTATAGGATGAAATGGATACCATTAAAAAGTAAGCATACAAACAGGTAGTGAAACTTCATGGCAAAACCCAAAAGGCAATACTTGTAATATAATTTTAAAAGAATATATTGCAGAATTAGAAATAGTTCAGAGAAGGAAATTACAAGAAATTAGGGATAAGGAAAAACTCATCAGTTAAGATCGATGAGAGAGACTGGCGAGACAATTCTGAATGCGGTATTGATGGGAAAGTGGCACAATAAAAGTATATAAAAGAAAGGTAAGCTAGTGAAGTTATAAGTTTTCCCTCCTTTAACCATATAGCAATTAGGAAACAGTATTGAACTTCAAGATGTTCCATGAAATTTGCAACTGTCCGGTTTCAAAATAGTAAATGAAAACACCATGTTCTCGCTGCCAAATGATTCATGCTATGCTAATAATTTAGAACGACTCAAAGTGGAATTTCATCTTTATATGATGAGAATTTCTGTAACTAATGCTAAAACCCTTTGCAGACATTAAATTGACAGGATTCACATCTTAAACCAAGGTCATACTGTGTAGGATTAGGAGATCTCCTTAAGGATCTTCTTTATTTACTACACAGCTCCTGCATCTTCCTCCAAGATTCTGATCCTGACAATTGTCAGAAAAAAGGCTAGTGGAAAGAAAGGCCATCACTTCAATATTACTATATAATGTCTCCTAAAAAAGGATACTGAAGAGATAAGCCAGAATGTGTATGACAGCAACTAGTTAAACACTATGTTAGCTCTGGTTTGTAATTTCAAGGGCTATCCAGATTTACAGTGACTGTTCCACAGTCAGAATGCAGAGTGATAAAACCTTCAAATAGCAATCTCCCCTTTTTGCATTCAGTCTTGCAGCACTAGCCTAAGTCTCCAAACTCCTCTTAAATGTTATTATTGGTCACCTCATTTGGCTGGATATGAAGACAAATTAGTGAGTTCAAATTGTGGAGATCTATTGAGAGCTTTTGATTTTAGGGCAGAACCAATTATTGCTGAGCATACTGCTCTAGCTCTGACAAGAGGGTTAAGTGGCTTGATTCATATTCCGATTCACGCAGCACTTACACACAAAAAAATAAGTAGTGGAGATTGTCTAGCAGAGACAGGGAGAAAGGACTTGCACATCTCCCAGTTTTGTAAACTACTCATCAGATGAAGCAAATTCCTAGTGCATCCACACATGAGCACAAGCAGCGTAAAGATTGTCATTTTGCTTTTTTAGGCACATTGCTATATCAGACTTAGGGCTTCACAGCTCTGGTTTTCATTAAATCTGCCAGATGTACAGACCTCTAATACTTTCCATTGAACCTGACTGTTAATGTGAATAAATTTCATGTGTGAAAAGTGCTAATTATGTAATTAATTGATCACTTCCACTTCAGCCCTTTTGAAAATGACACATAATATACCTGTTAAATTGAGGTCTGATATGGAGACAGAGAGAATGGAAGATAAAGCAGAATTCATTGCATTTTAAAATGCTAAAGCTATATTTAACTGATTGTATGGGTCCTTTATTTTTATTTTATTAAGAATGTCTCTCATACAATAAGTATTTTGTTTCTTATATAGTAATTGTTTTCTATACCATAGTATACTACAACATTTGCCAGCATAGCATAAGTGGAAACTGTGAAGCACACAATTAATTTTAAAAATAAGCCCCATCACTCCCCAGGTAACCCTATCAATCAGATATTTTATTAATTCAGGTAAGATATATTTCAAACTGTTCTCCATTCCGTAAGTATGAATACAAAATTTTTCAAGGCTTGATAGAAAAGACTCCACTCAATCAAAGTTCCTCCAGAAAGCCTATTCCCCAGTGTATTTGTCTTTTTTTTCCCTCCTCTTTACTTATCCTGTATCTTATGTTTGACATTCTAGAAGGCAAATATTTTTTAGAGCTTCTAAAACACCTCAGGCTGTGCCTACAGCTACAGATATGTAACCATATGGTTCCTTAATTACTCAAATCACTATGTAAGGCCTATGTGCTAATGTTCAAGATACATTTCACTCTGGTGTTAGCCCAAGGGGACCCATCTGATAGTTTGCAACCTCCTGACTTTGGCATTGCTTGTTTTGCTTGTGTAGCATTTCCTTTGCTGCTCTTTTAAAATATAAGGATCATTTCTCAAACAGATACCTACTGACTAGAAACAGTGGAGTCTTCTCGCTTCAAAACCTCATTGTCTTGCTACTGCTTACTGTATATGCTTATTTTTCTTCCTTTTGCAGTTTTGCAGACGATACAAAACTGTGAGGAGTGGTTGATCCACTGATGGTTGTGCTACCATCCAGAGAGATCTCAACTGGCTGGAGAAATGGGCCAAAAGCAACCTAATGGAATTCAGCAAAGGAAAATACCAAGTCTTGCATCTGCAGAGGAATAACCTCTAGCACCAGCAAAGGCTGTGGGCTAACTGGCTGGAAAGCAGCTCTGCAGAGAAGGACCTGGGGTTCCTGGTGGACAACTAGCTGAACATGAGCCAGCAACACGCCCTTCTGGCAAGAAAGTGCAAAGTCATCCTGGGCTGCGTTAGGAAGACTGTTACCAGCAAATTGAGGGAGGTGATCCTTTTCCTCTGCTCAGCACTGGTGAGACACACCTGGAGTGCTGTTTCCAACTGCAGAGCTCCCCAGTACAAGAGAGACAGGGACATACTGGAGTGAGTTCCAAGGAGGGCCATGAAAATGACTGAGCGGTTGGAGTATTCCCCATATGAGGAGAGGCTGTGAGAGCTGGGACTGTTCAGCCTGGAGAAGAGAAGGCTCTGTGGGATCTTACCCATCTGTATAGATACGTGCATCTACCTGAGTAAAGAAGACAGAACCAGGCTCTTTTCAGTGGTGCCCAATGACAGGACAAGAGGCAATGGGCAAAACTGAAACACACAAAATTCCATTTAAACATAAGAAAAAGCTTTCTGCCCCTGCTCTGCAGTGGCTAGGACTACAGACTTTGGGAAGTGCATTCCAGACTCAACCACTATGTGATTTTGTAGTTCTGCAAAACCACTTTTATTAAAACTCATACCTAAGGGTAATCTACTTCTTTTTCTCTACAACTAAAAGTTTCAAGTTTGGCAAATGACTTTCCAAAAACTATTGGATTTCTTTGATCTTGTCCCGTGAAATATGAGGGGAAAACAAATTACACAGCCACTTCCTAATGAAAGAATTAAAAGAACTTTACCCCTAGTAAAAGAACAAGAATAATCACTGCATTTCATTACAAATAACAAAACCAAACATTCTCACCACATTTCAATAGGATTGATAATTATTAAGAACATTTTGACCTTCATTTTCCCAACACTGTGTGTCCACAACTTGCACACCGGAAAACACTGTTTTCTGCAGTTTATCAGAGAAAATCCTTTATTTCACATTTGACAATGTTGTCTGTGAGAAGTCTGTGATTGAATAATCGTAATCTTTGATTATGACCAATCTGTGACTGAATGCTATAGCCATGCTATCAAGCAGAATTTCTCCAGCTCGACATCCTTCATTCTCTCATTCTACTATTCTATTACCTCTTCTTGCCTGTTTTTCTCAAAAATAACATTGCTGACAATAATTATGTTCATGTCCGTGTTGAAACCACGTTCTCAAAGGTATCCAGTGGTGTATTACATTCCTGATGACTGAAGGGATCACCATGCTAGGAATATGTGAATGGACAAAATGAGGAAGGCTGTTTGCTAAGCTGGAATTTTTCTTTCTATAAGATCACCATATTGCAATAAAAGCAGTATCTTTCATTATTGTTTTATGATAACACCAGGAAAAAGTGTATTAGAGTAATATAGACTTTAAATACATTCTAAGTCTCCACAAAATAAATAGATTTTGGAATATTAATCTCCTCAAGACCGGCACTAAAAGAATTCAACTAAACCACCGTTTTAACTAAAGTATCTCTGTTTCTAAATCAGTCTTCAATTCAGTGTGTTATCCATTATTTTCAAAACTTGCTTCTCCAACCCAGTCTTTTCTGCTTGAAATCTGATCCTCTTCCCACTGCTGTCATACTTGCCCATCCCAAATTCAATCCAACCCCTCATTTATTTTCAACCTAACTTTCCTTTTCTGCTTTTTCTGTAATTAATACACTGGACTCTGTTGCTGGTTCTCCCATCTTCTCTATATTCTATCTTTATGTGATCCCACTCACTCCATGGTATTTAGCTCCTATTTATCATTCCTGAGGGCGTACAAACCACCTTTTTTCCCTTTCTATTCTCCTATACAGCCATTATAGTAAAGTACTATGAACTGACACACTTTAAAATCTGTATCTCTGCCCAGTCCAAGAGTATATTTGCTAGAGTTAAAACTCCACAGAGCTCTGTCTGAGCATGTACACTGGTTGAGCTGCTGTATTTGACAAGTAATTCCCTTATATTTATTGCCTATGTTTGAATTCAGAATGACAGTCATGAGAACTTTTCTGCTAAGGAATTGAGTTTTGACCTTGGCCACAGACTACATTACAGTTTTGGAGCAAAAACAAGGAGATGACAGTTTCTGACACAATTTTTAAGAAAGAGTG